CACGGTATCAAAAACCCTCTTTGCCTTTATAAATAAGAAGCCACTAATCATATCGTAATATATCAATATTGATACCCTAATCAGTTGTCATGAGGATGAAAGTGCAAATACGTGCCTAACTCAGAGTATGTGTGGGTGAACAAACTTAAACGAGACTCACTTGAGTTAAGTGGGCCTAAACAAAGGAAAACAAGGTTAACTTCACGTACATGTCGGTCAACCAAAATACAAGAACTTAAAATGGGGTAGATTAGGGTAAACATGATTAAAACGTGACTAACTCAGAGTAGATGGGGGATTATGAGGTAGAACATGCTTTCCTGAGGGTAGATGAAGGCGAACGTAGTAGAACGTGAGTTAACGTAGTAGAACATGGCTGACTTAGAGTACATGGGGGTTAACGTGGTACAACATGGCTAACTTGGGTTGATGGGGGTTAACTTGGTGGAACATGGCTAACTTAGGGTAGACGTGGTAGAACATGGTTAACTTAGGGTAGATGTGGGTTAACGAGGAAGAACATGGCTAACTTAGGGTAGATGTGGGTTAACGTGGTAGAACATGGCTAACTTAGGGCAGATGTGGCTTAACGTAGTAGAACATGGCTAAACTTGGGTAGATGTGGGTTAACGTGGTAGAACATGGTTAACTTAGGGCAGATGTGAGTGAACGTGGTAAAACATGGCTAACCTAGGGTAGATGTGGGTGAACGTGATAGAACATAGTTAACTTAGGGTAGATGTGGGTGAACGTGGTAGAACGTGGTTAACTTATGGTAGATGTGGGTTAACGTGGTAGAACATGGTTAACTTACGGTAGATGTGGGTTAACGTGGTAGAACATGGTTAACTTAGGGTAGATGTGGGTTAACGAGGAAGAACATGGCTAACTTAGGGTAGATGTGGGTTAACGTGATAGAACATGACTAACTTAGGGAAGATGTGGCTTAACGTGGTAGAACATGCCTAACAAAGGGTAGATGTGGGTGAACGTGGTAGAACATGGTTAACTTAGGGTAGATGTGGGTTAACGAGGTAGAACATGGCTAACTTAGGGTAGATGTGGGTTACCGTGGTAGAACATGGCTAACTTAGGGTAGATGTGGGTTAACGTGGTAGACCATGGTTAACTTAGGGTAGATGTGGGTTAACGTGGTAGAACATGGCTAACTTAGGGTAGATGTGGGTGAACGTGATAGAACATAGTTAACTTAGGGTAGATGTGGGTGAACGTGGTAGAACGTGGTTAACTTATGGTAGATGTGGGTTAACGTGGTAGAACATGGTTAACTTACGGTAGATGTGGGTTAACGTGGTAGAACATGGTTAACTTAGGGTAGATGTGGGTTAACGAGGAAGAACATGGCTAACTTAGGGTAGATGTGGGTTAACGTGATAGAACATGGCTAACTTAGGGAAGATGTGGCTTAACGTGGAAGAACATGCCTAACAAAGGGTAGATGTGGGTGAACGTGGTAGACCATGGTTAACTTAGGGTAGATGTGGGTTAACGAGGTAGAACATGGCTAACTTAGGGTAGATGTGGGTTACCGTGGTAGAACATGGCTAACTTAGGGTAGATGTGGGTTAACGTGGTAGACCATGGTTAACTTAGGGTAGATGTGGGTTAACGTGGTAGAACATGGCTAACTTAGGGTAGATGTGGGTTAACGTGGTAGAACATGGCTAACTTATGGTAGATGTGGGTTAACGTGGTAGAACATGGCTAACTTAGGGTAGATGTGGGTTAACGTGGTAGAACATGGTTAACTTAGGGTAGATGTGGGTTAACGTGGTAGAACATGGTTAACTTAGGGTGGATGTGGGTTAACGTGGTAGAACATGGTTAGCTTAAGGTAGATGTGGGTTAACGTGGTAGAACATGGCTAACTTAGGGTAGATGTGGGTTAACGTGGTAGAACATGGCTAACTTATGGTGGATGTGGGTTAACGTGGTAGAACATGGTTAACTTAGGGTAGATGCGGGATAACGTGGTAGAACATGGTTAACTTAGGGTAGATGTGGGTTAGCGTGTTAGAACATGGTTAACTTAGGGTAGATGTGGGTTAACGTGGTAGAACATGGTTAACTTAGGGTAGATGTGGGTTAACGTGGTAGAACATGGTTAACTTAGGGTAGATGTGGGTTACCGTGATAGAACATGGCTAACTTAGGGTAGATGCAGGTTAACGTGGTAGAACATGGTTAACTTAAGGTAGATGTGGGTTAACGTGGTAGAACATGTCTAACGTAGGGTAGATGTGGGTTAACGTAGTAGAACATGGTTAACTTAGGGTAGATGTGGGTTAACGTGGTAGAACATGGTTAACTTAGGGTAGATGTGGGTTACCGTGATAGAACATGGTTAACTTAGGGTAGATGTGGGTTAACGTGGTAGAACATGGTTAACTTAGGGTAGATGTGGGTTAACGTTGTAGAACATGGTTAACTTAGGGTAGATGTGGGTTACCGTGATAGAACATGGCTAACTTAGGGTAGATGCAGGTTAACGTGGTAGAACATGGTTAACTTAAGGTAGATGTGGGTTAACGTGGTAGAACATGTCTAACGTAGGGTAGATGTGGGTTAACGTAGTAGAACATGGTTAACTTAGGGTAGATGTGGGTTAACGTGGTAGAACATGGTTAACTTAGGGTAGATGTGGGTTACCGTGATAGAACATGGTTAACTTAGGGTAGATGCAGGTTAACGTGGTAGAACATGGTTAACTTAAGGGAGATGTGGGTTAACTTGGTAGAACATGGTTAACTTAGGGTAGATGTGGGTTAACGTGGTAGAACATGGTTAACTTAGGGTAGATGCAGGTTAACCTGGTAGAACATGGCTCACTTAGGGTAGATGTGGGTTAACGTGGTAGAACATGTTTAACTTAGGGTGGATGTGGGTTAACGTTGTAGAACATGGTTAACTTAGGGTAGATGTGGGTTAACGTGGTAGAACATGGTTAACTTAGGGTGGATGCGGGTTAACGTGGTAGAACATGGCTAACTTAGGGTAGATGCGGGTAATCGTGGTAGAAGATGGTTAACTTAGGGTAGATGCGGGTTAACATGGTAGAACATGGCTAACTTAGGGTAGATGCGGGTTAACGTGGTAGAACATGGTTAACTAAGGGTAGATGGGGGTTAAGGTGGAAGAACATGGTTAACTTAGGGTAGATGCGGGTTAACGTGGTAGAACATGGTTAACTTAGGGTAGATGTGGGTTAACGTGGTAGAACATGGCTCACTTAGGGTAGATGTGGGTTAACGTGGTAGAACATGGTTAACTTTGGGTAGATGGGGGTTAAAGTGGTAGAGTATGGCTAACTTAGGGTAGATGTGGGTTAACGTGGTAGAACATGGTTAACTTAGGGTAGATGCGGGTTAAAGTGGTAGAACTTGGTTAACTAAGGGCAGATGTGGGTTAACGTGGTAGAACATGGCTAACTTAGGGTAGATGTGGGTTAACGTGGTAGAACATGGTTAACTTAGGGTAGATGTGGGTTAACGTGGTAGAACATGGCTAACTTAGGGTAGATGTGGGTTAACGTGGTAGAACATGGCTAACTTAGGGTAGATGTGGGTTAACGTGGTAGAACATGGCTAACTTAGGGTAGATGTGGGTTAACGTGGTAGAACATGGCTAACTTAGGGTAGATGTGGGTTAACGTGGTAGAACATGGCTAACTTAGGGTAGATGTGGGTTAACGTGGTAGAACATGGCTAACTTAGGGTAGATGTGGGTTAACGTGGTAGAACATGGTTAACTTTGGGTAGATGCAGGTTAACGTGGTAGAACATGGTTAACTTAAGGGAGATGTGGGTTAACTTGGTAGAACATGGTTAACTTTGGGTAGATGCGGGTTAACGTGGTACAACATGGTTAAATAAGGGTAGATGGGGGTTAACGTGGTAGAACATGGTTAACTTAGGGTAGATGTGGGTTAACGTGGTAGAACATGGTTAACTTAGGGTAGATGCGGGTTAACGTGGTACAACATGGTTAAATAAGGGTAGATGGGGGTTAACGTGGTAGAACATGGTTAACTTAGGGTAGATGTGGGTTAACGTGGTAGAACATGGTTAACTTAGGGTAGATGTGGGTTAACGTGGTAGAACATGGTTAACTTAGGGTAGATGTGGGTTAACGTGGTAGAACATGGTTAACTTAGGGTAGATGTGGGTTAACGTGGTAGAACATGGTTAACTTAGGGTAGATGTGGGTTAACGTGGTAGAACATGGTTAACTTAGGGTAGATGTGGGTTAACGTGGTACAACATGGTTAAATAAGGGTAGATGGGGGTTAACGTGGTAGAACATGGTTAACTTAGGGTAGATGTGGGTTAACGTGGTAGAACATGGTTAACTTAGGGTAGATGCGGGTTAACGTGGTACAACATGGTTAAATAAGGGTAGATGGGGGTTAACGTGGTAGAACATGGTTAACTTAGGGTAGATGTGGGTTAACGTGGTAGGACATGGTTAACTTAGGGTAGATGCGGGTTAACGTGGTACAACATGGTTAACTTGGGGTAGATGTGGGTTAACGTGGTAGTACATGGCTAACTTAGGGTAGATGTGGGTTAACGTGGTAGAACATGGCTAACTTAGGGTAGATGTGGGTTAATGTGGTAGAACATGGTTAACTTAAGATAGATATGGGTTAACGTGGTGGAACACGGCTAACTAGGATATATTGTAAGTTTTGCATGAAGCTTAAGCTATATATTGTCAGCCATTTTGTCGTCTATATGGCATTCAGCCATGGCGTATATACCCAGAATCCGTTTTTGCGCGTCGCGCCAAAGCTTAGCGCATGCGCAAATGTTATTCAGCTCTGTCGGGAGACTCTAACTGATCTTTCTAGGTATAAACAAATGTAATAAAATACGCAAGATGGAGTCAGACACGGATAGTCCTTTGGAATCTCCGCCGATTGTGGTATTAAGGGGATTGAGATTTTTCTAGTAGTGAAGGAAAACGTAGCAATAATAACCATGGCGTCTTCCAAAGCATCGAATGCCGGAAGTAGCTACAAGGAGCAGAGAGAGCAGAAGGTTCTTGATGTCATGTTTCTCTGTGACGAATGGAAATCTTCAAAGGGTGGATTATCAACTTTCAATCGAGAATTTGCCATTAATTTGGCACAAGCAACGACTGGTAGCATGACAATCCACTGCTATGTCTCTAATAGCGATGATCGGGACAGAGAAGATGCTAAACAACATGGTGTCAATTTAATCACAGCCCGAAGTGTTCCTGGTTCAACCGACCGCCTCGAGGGCTTGAAGTTTTCACCCTCAGAGCTCCCAAACCCACATCTGGTGATAGGCCATGGAAGAAAACTGGGTTGTCCTGCGTATTCCCTCCTACAGAATACAAAGTGTAAATGGATCCAATTTGTTCACGTCTACTGCGAGGACCTTGGGAAATATAAAGAATCTGCCACGGCTGCAGAAGATACAATCGAAGAGAACGAGAAGAAGCATAAGATGGAAATTGAGTTGTGTGAAGCAGCGGATGCAGTTGTCGCCGTCGGCTCCCGTCTACAACGGAAGTACAGCAGACGTCTCCTTAATGTTGAAGTGAAGATTATCACTCCTGGGATCTTTGGAAGGTTTTCCAATGAATCAAAGTTGGCTGTAGACAGATCGGTAGTAAAGAATTTTAATGTGTCTTTGTTTGGCCGAGCTGCCTTTGAGGATCTTTCCCTGAAAGGCTATGATGTAGTCGCAAATGCCATTGGTTCTCTTGGTGAGAACTTTGAGTTGACATTTGTCGGCTCATCTCCCGGTGAACAACGAAAAGTTGAGCAATGGTTTCTTGACAACACGTGTATCAACCGCAACCAACTAACCATCCGTCGATATTGCTGTGAACAAGAGGAACTCAAGATGATGTTCTATCAGTCAGATTTGGTTGCTCTGCCATCTCGCACCGAAGGATTTGGGCTTGTTGCCCTTGAGGCCATTTCTGCTGGTGTTCCTGTTCTTGTCTCTGGCGAATCTGGCATAGCTGAGGCTTTGCAAAAGGTAGACGGTGGAAACACTGTCATTGTTGGATCAGGTGAAAATGAAGATGAATGGGCACGAAGGATCAGAGAGATGTATCGAGAAAGCGCAGAAGAGAGAGAAGCCAAAGCTGTGAAGCTTCGCGAGAACTACAGGAAGGTTTACTCTTGGAAAGCAGAATGCGAGAGGTTTAAAGGGCTGATTGAAAATGTTATGAAAACTGCAAATGGTGAGTGTACTTCTTCAATTCTTCCTTTTGTTCAGTACATTAGCTGAAATTTTATGCAACTTGTATGAAGCTAAACCTTATGTGTGGACTGAGCCACATAAGGTAAACTGAATACTGGTACATGTAGATAAACACAAGAACGAGTGAATTGCACCTTTAGTCCTGAGTTGTTACATTTATCTAGACTTGTAGTTGGACTACAAGTGTTCAAGTGCATTGTCTTTTTGAGTGCTTTTTGATATAAAAAATAACTCTATGTTAGTGTACAGAGTGTCATATATCTGCCACCGATCAGATTGCTGCATTAGGGCATTTATCTTGCACCAATGAGATTGTCACTTAAGGGTATGTATCTTGCACCAATCATATTACAGCATTAGGATATCTTACACCATTCACAGCATTTGTGTATTGTTTTCTTGCAAATTATGTCATCAAATCAGGGGACTGTGCAGAAAGAATGGTCTTCACCACAAATTTTGGGCTCATTTGTTAAGTGTAATGGTTTGTGGGCTTTGCCTTAAGGTTGAGATTTATCAGGATATGGAAGGATCACATCTGACTTTTTGTATCATTTTTAAGTTAAAATATGTTTTTCCTTTCTTTTACTGATGATGCACTTACCAAACAACTCACATTCCATCAAGTACCATAGAAATAATCTTTAAAGTCCAATCAGAACATACCCAATCATTGCACTACATGAACACTGTGTAATTTTTCATGTGCTTGAATTATACTCTACCAATCAAATTCCACTTTGCTCCATCATGTGTCATTTCCTCGTAAACAACCTGCATTCTATCACATATTCCAAATGCATTTTCCAACTCCACCAAAAAAAATTCACACAAAACTAAATGGGACTGATGGTGAACTTTCCATGCAACTGCTACCATGGACTTAACCCAATTGCATGTCAATTCATTGAAAACAACCTGCATTTCATCATGTATTTCACACACACAGGGCAAAGTCCAGATGGGCAACAACCAATCAAGCGGCCCTCTTTGAATTATTTTCCTTTTCTCCTGTTTAACGTATCCTAACTTATTCAAGGTTACGATATATCTTTGGTGAGGTTCTGTTGGAAATACAACAGAGTTTCAGTTTGCTTTTTGTCATAAAGTTAGGTGGAATTCTATTTTTTGGACAACTAACTGTAGATAAATAATTTTCATTTCCTCTCTGTTAGAGGAACAGCAGAGAGTGTGGTCTCTTTTGCAACTGTTATTTGGTGTCTTCACGCAACATGCTCTCTTTCAAAAGGGGAATAGAAGGTGTTGTTTGATGGGACCAAACTATGGCAGTGAAGGAGACAACAGTTAGTGTGGCACTGATGCATTTAATTTTTGCTTAGAAGTATTTGGACAATAGAGAAAATAGGCCACAAAATACCTGTGTGGGTTCAGATAAATTACATTTTTATTTTCTTTCTCTTAAGGGGAAGTAATACAATATTTTCGTTTGTTTACAAAAATGAAAACATTAGTTACACAAAATGTCCCATCTCAACCCACCCAGCCATGAAAATAACTCTTGCATGCTAGACATGCTTATGTTTCATCTTAGCTAAGTCTGTTTAGATATTTCCATGTTTGAAACTGTTAGTAATATTTTAAATCATTGAGAATTTTGATTCTACTATGGAATGAGATAAAGATGCAAAAGAAACTGAAACTGAAGCAATATATTTACTGTATGTGGTAATCATTTTCATTTGTTCAAGTTGTTGTTGGTATCTATTCATTGGTAATAAGCTCTATGTTTGATTGGTATTGCCTCATTGTAATGTTCTCACATTTCAGTGGTAAATTAAATAGGAAGTGAAAAAACCTTGTTATATTAGGATTAAATTTGACTGTTACAATTTAACAGGTGGTGAAATGAATATTAAGGTTGATGTGGATGACTTGAAACCTGAAGAACAGAATATGCAGACTGGCATGTTGGCAACAGAGTCTGTCAGATGCCAAGAAGTTCAGCAGGGTAGAGCATCTACTACATCAGCTGCATCTGTAAGTGTGTCCTATCCACAGACAGTAGATCTCCAGACTCGTAAAGAGGAACTCTTTATATCAATTGTTGGAAATTATTTCCAGACCACACCACCACGTTCCGGTGAAGAGCACAATGAGTTTATGGAATATGTAGAAAAAATGAGGCTCATCATTAATGGTGTCTCTAAAGGAAGTTTGGTGATAACGGTGAAGTGTGAATCTCTAATGATCTTGGAGGACTTGTGGACAGATTACTCATCTGGTCATCTTGGTGAAGTGGTTCAGAATTGTTTTGTAACTGAAAAGATCTTGAAGGAACTGAAACTGGCCGAGCTGAGGCTGAAGACAACAATGGATGTAGAAGAGTACAATGCATGCAAAATGTTCTTTGAGAAAGATGCACTTAGAGGTTGGTAGAAAGTATGTAACAAGGCCTGGTCCTACTATGAAATATTTGTCAAGGGTTTTGAATGAAAACCATCAGTCTTTCCACATAGAGTATGGTAGGGTACATGTCATGAAGGGATGGGTCCAGTTTTTATATCAAGAGTTAGGGAACTTGTCTCTTCAATAAATTCATGCTGACTACTGTATGTAAACCATGCCAATGCAAGCAGTAATTTGTTTGCAAGATGTTTCATTTGATGTTTTGTTCTTCTCAAACATCTCTTCCCAGAAGCCTGTTATCTTTCCTACTAAGACATCTGGCTTGATATTTCCTCTCTATAGGGTTGTTTTTATCTTTCCTTAATTTATTTGATTGCATCATTAATCAAAGGTTAATTGGCAAGACTTTTGTTGGAGGGACCATGAAAGAAAATTTTTCTAGTTTTTGCATGTTGTGTGTTTTTAAAAATAGTTTGAAGTGTCTTTATCTTTTAAAATGTGTGTCTTCTTGTAAATTTGATTTTAGAAGCCCTATCCTCTGAATTCCGCTCCACAAGTTCAACCAGTGAAAGTCCACAAAAAAAAGAACAATGGGAAAAAAGTGAACAGAAGACAAAGATTATGGAGACAGTGAAATTGGAAGGTGAAAAAGAAATTAAAAACTTGTATTAATTTACTATGGAAAGTTTTTATGAACAGTAATAACAAGTATGTGATAAATCTTCAAAGAATAATTTCGGTGCAATAATGTGGCATCAATAATATAATATAATTGTACACAGCTGAAAACAGCAATGGACATAGAAGAGAACAATGCATATACAAACTGTACTTTCTTGAGAAGAATGCACTCAGAGGTCAGTTGAAAGAAAGAAAAAGGCCTGGTCCTGTGGAAAAATGTCTTGAAATTATTAAAAACACAATGCATCACTCGTTCAACATGGCGCACCATAGGGTTAACAGAGGTGTAGAGGGGGGTCCAGATTTTTACCAAGATAGAACCAATTGTTTCATGACTAAGCTCATGCTGACTATGTATACAATAACAATCTGCAGCTAGAAGTGATTTGTTCAAGAAATTTCCTAGTATATTTACCTTTCTGTCTGGTTGTATTTATCTTTGGCTCCAAATATAAATAAAATAAAATAAGCTAAAGTAAAAAATTGGCAAGGTTTTGGTTGAAGGAACTATAAAAGAAAATGTTACCTGTATTTGTGTGTGGGGTTTTTATAAAAATGATTTGAGGTGTGTTGTATGGTTTTGAATGTCAGTATTTAGTGGTTGCCTCATTATTTGTTTTCTTTTAAATCTGATTTTAGGTGCCTCATCATCTGAATTCCACTCCATAAGTTCAACCAGTGAAAGTCCACAAAATCAAGAAGAGCTGAAAAAATGGAAACAGAAGACAAAGATTGTTGAGAGAGAGAAACTGAAAGGTGAAAACAAAATTAAAAGACATATTAGGATGTTAAGGAAAGTTGTTGTGAACAGTAATAACAATTTATTATTTGACAAAGATTTGAAGAATTATCTCAATGCAGTAATGCAGTGTTAGTATTATTTTAAGAGTACAACTTATGGGGAACAACTTACAGCGTATCTGCAGAGAGGCTGTGAATGCTGATCTCTCCCTGTACTTTTTGTCCTTAGCTACTTCACCCCTCACTGTAATACCCACCACTGGTCATGGAAAAGAAATTATAGGAAAAGCACAGGGAAGGAAAGGTGAACAGGAAGCTCAGTTTGAATTAATATCTGTAGTAAATATGTTCAGTATGTTCAGTTATTATGTCAAGTGTAAAAAAGTGTGCTTTTGGGATTAAACATTTAAGGTTGTAAGGGTCTGTAGGGTAAAACTAAACTGACAATTATTTGAAATACTCTCAGTTCTTCATTAAAAATATTAATTTGAAAGAAATTAAAACCCAAATTAGTTTTACCTAAATTTTGTATTTAAGATAATTTTCATGCACTATATAGAGATGGTCACATGACTTGTTGGTTTGCTGTGTTATCATCTCTCAAATGAAAGTAACACCTTGAATACTAATATTGCTGTAAATAATGTAAAATAGATAAATGTAAATTACTCCAAATATGATTGTGCCTCATTCTCTACTTATATTAAAGGGAATTTGAGTTGGTTTGTGGAATTAAAACAATAATTGTACTGTATGTATGTATTTGAAATGGATGTTTTGAACAGCTTTCTCTAAATCTATCCTTAGAGCTACAGGTTGGTATGCCTGTTTCAAACTATTTATCAGAAGAAATGCTAATCTCTCTCTGTATAACTTTGTTTTTAGGCATGTTGCCTCCCCTTGGATCTTCCACCTCTGATCCTGAAGAAGAACTAGAAGAGCTACGTATGAAACTTCAAACTATGAAAGGTGAATGAAAAAGTGCTGTTAAATTGACTTTGATGGTAAAACTAAACCAAGAATGCTTTTAAATAAATTTAGTTCTCATTCGCAATATTTTTTTGAAAAGGAAATTACACCCAATGTAGTTTTCCGTCACTCTGTGCTTTGCTATAAGAGAAAATTAAGATAGTAGAGGCTAGGTTGGTGAAACAGCATATAATGATAAACTTAGTTTTTTCAGTGTTGATCTTAAATTATGCCTTAAAAACTGACTGTTGTGTAGCGTAGATAGATTTTGTACATCAAATACAATCAGTTAATGGCATGTTGGTTTGACCTGTTATCATGTCACTATTAAAGGTAACACCATGAATTGTTCTTTGTACTTTTCCCCTTAAAGTTGACTCCCATTGCTGTGGACACCCTCGGGGGGAGATTTAGTGTCTGTAATAGCAAAAAGTGTGTAATAATGGGGTACAAGAGAAATAAACATTTGTTTTGTTTCTTAACATATGACATAAAGTTTCCACAAACCAGAAAAAGATCTGGCTGTAAGCAGAAAATTTCATATGTTCACACCCAATTGAAGAATGGTTTCTTTATTTCCCTTTTTCATAATGCTGGTTCATAGTACGCTAGTCATGATTTTGGACAAAGTAAATAAGTGTCTATTATAGCAAGAGAAAAAACAAGTGAAAAGTCATGCTGGGGGGTAGGAAAGAGTCTGCATTATTGCAATAGCAAGAGTCTGTTAAAGAGGGAATTTATCAGTCATTTCTGTATGTGTTTTTCCAGGAGCTGACTCTTGTCTGCAGTGGCAAGATGTCTGTAATAGTGAGGTGACTGCAGGGCTAGAGTTAACAGAAGATTAATCCAAATTTGGCATTATCATTTCCTTTCTGTCTGGTTGTATTTATCTTTGGCCCCAAATATAAATAAAATAAAACAAGCTAAAATAAAAATTGGCAAGATTTTAGTTGGAGGAGCTATAAAAGAAAATATTACTTGTATTTGTGTGTGGGGTTTTTATAAAAATGATTTGAGGTGTGTTGTATGGTTTTGAATGTCAGTATTTAGTGGTTGCCTCATTATTTGCTTTCTTTTAAATCTGATTTTAGGTGCCTCATCTTCTGAATTCCACTCCATAAGTTCAACCAGTGAAAGTCCACAAAAACAAGAAGAGCTGAAAAAATGGAAACAGAAGACAAAGATTGTTGAGACAGAGAAACTGAAAGGTGAAAACAAAATTAAAAGACATTAAGTTGTTGTGAACAGTAATAACAATTTATTATTTGACCAAGCTTTGAAGAATTATCTCAATGCAGTAATGTGGCATTAGTAATATTCTAAGAGTACAACTTATGGGGAACAACTTACAGCACAGCTGAAGAAGAAGAGAGGCTGTGAATGCTAATCTCACCCTGTACTTTTTGTTCTTAAATACTTCACCCTTACTGTAATACCCACCACTGGTCATGGAAAAGAACTTATAGGAAAAGCACAGAGAAAGGAAGGTGAACAGGAAGCTCAGTTTGAATTAATTTCTAAAGTGAATGTGTTCAGTGTGTTCAGCTATCATGTCAAGCATAGAGAAGTGTGCTTTTGGGATTAAACAGTTAAGGTTGTAAGGGTCTTTTGGGTAAAACTAAACTGACAATTATTTGAAATACTCTCAGTTCTTCATTAAAAAGATTAATTTGAGAGAAATTAAAACCCAATTTAGTTTTCCCTAAATTTTTTATTTAAGATAAAAATTTCATGCACTTTATAGAGATGGCACATGAGTTGTTGGTTTTCTGTGTTATCATCTCTCAAATGAAAGTAACACCTTGAATACTAATATTGCTGTAAATAATGTAAAATACATAAATATAAATTATTCCAAATATGATTGTGCCTCATTTTCTACTTATGTTAAAGGGGATTTGAGTTGGCTTGTGGAATTAAAACAATATACTGTATGTTTGTATTTCAAATAGATGTTTTCAACAGCTTTTTTAAATCTACCCTTAGCTACAAGTTGGTATGCCTGTTTTTAACTATTTATCCATAGAAATGCTAATTTCTTGAAGTATAACTTTGTTTTTAGGCATGCTGCCTCTTCATGGATCTTACACCTCTGATCCTGAAGAAGAACTAGAAGAGCTACGTATGAAACTTCAAATTATGAAAGGTGAATGAAAAAATAGTGTTAAATTGACTTTGATGGTAAAACTAAACCAAGAATGGTTTTAAATACATGTAGTTCTCATTCAAAATAATTTTTTTGAAAGGAAATTACACCCAATGTAGTTTTTCGTCACTCTGTGTTTTGCTAGAAGAGAATATTAAAATGGTAGAAGCTAGGTTAGTGAAACAGTGTTTAATGATAAACTTAGTTTTTTCAGTGTTGATCTTAAATTATGCCGTTAAAAACTGACTGTGATGTGGTTTAGATAGATTTTGTACATCAAATACAATCAGTTAATGGCATGTTGGTTTAACCTGTTATCATTTTGCTATTAAAAGTAACACCATGAATTGTTCTTTGTACTTTTCCCCTTAAGGTTGAATCTTGCTGTGGACACCCTCGGGGGGAGATTTAGTGTCTGTAATAGCAAAAATTTTGTAATAATGGGGTACAAGAGAAATAAACATTTGTTTAGTTTCTTAACATGTGAAATAAAGTTTCCACAAACCAGAAAAAGATCTGGCTGTGAGCAGAAAATTTCATATGTTCACACCCAATTGAAGAATGGTTTCTTTATTTCCCTTCTTCATAATGTCGGTCATGCCAGATAGTCATGATTTTGGACAGAGTAAATAAGTGTCTATTATAGCAAGAGAAAAAACAAGTGAAAAGTCATACTGGGTGACAGGAAAGAGTCTGCATTATTGCAATAGCAAGAGTCTATCATAGAGGGAATTTATTTCATTCATTTCTGTATGTGTTTCTCCAGGGGCTGGCTCTTGTCTGCAGTGGCAAGGTGTCTGTAATAGTGAGGTGACCACAGGGCTAGAGTCAACTGTAGATTAATCCAAATTTGGCATTGTTTCATTCTCTACTTTAGCTGAAGATGGTATTGAGTTGGCATGCAGTAAAAATACATAATAGTTGTTTTTAACAAGGATCATTGGAGTTATAATGGAGAACTAAGACTATTTTACTTTAACATGACTATAATTTGCTGTTTGCACAGGTGTACCTGTTGTTATCTTTTCTATGTAAAGTAAGACACTGAATTTTGAAAAGATTTGTATACCTTTGCTCCTAGGTTCTTCATCTCCCCCTCTTCTCTCCACCATTGATCTTGAAGAAAAGCTGGGGAGCATATGTGTGAACCTTAAGATGCTTAGAGTGGAAGGTGAATAGAAAAATTCATTTCTTATCATTTTTAGGGAGAAACTGCATGATCCAAGAATGCTGTCCATAAAGTTTGCTTAGGTTTAAAATGGGCTAACATATTAAATAGGTAAAAACCAAACATTTTTGGCACTAGGTCATCATCAGGGTGATGATGACCTAGTGTTGAAAATGTTTGGTTTTTATTACTTTTTTAATATTTTAGCCATGTAAATAGCTCAATGCCTTTAAATATTTTCACTTTTTTTTCTTGTAAATGCCTCTGAGAGAAATTATTCCTTATCTGAGATATTAACCTTTTCCTGTCTTTGTTTTCATCCAAGAATACTGCTAAATGCTCTCAGCTTTTATTCAGTAACTTAGTTTAGTTAAGGAACGTATTTTCAATTCAGTTTTACCACTAAATCCATGATTTCAGTCAAAGATAGTATTGAATTGGCTGTGGCATGTGATAATGAAACAATACTTAGAGATAGCTAATTTCATTGTTCTCTCCCTTGACCCCAATAGATGTTATTATGCCTTTACTTTTTATATCAGGTTAGGAACTAAGTACTAAATATATTTCTGTGTACCTTTGCTCTCAGGTGGTTTTTCTTTCCTTCAATTTTCAACCATTGATCTTGAGAAAAAACTAGCTGAACTAATCATGGAGCTTCAGAGGCTCAGAATGGAAGGTGAATATAAAATGTTTATCGATTCATTATCAGAGAGAAATAAATCCAAGAATGCTATTAAAGGCTTTAACCCTTGTATCGAATTATCACTTCTCAAGGAAACCTGTTATCTGATTTTATTATTATTGATGAATGCTTCCACTTCTTATTCTAATCATATACATTTTCAAGGGAAACTTTTCCTTAGTAAAGATAACCCTGCTGCCTTTATGGCTAATTTATAGCTAATAGGTTGCTGTCCTATACTTTCAGGTATTATGTAAAGTGTTAGCTTTTATATGAATTTTTTTCTTAATTTAGTTTTTGTTAATTCTGTGCTGTGGTGAAAGGGAGTATTAAGTTGGCTGTGGCTTATTATGATGAAACAATTTTTCTAAATGGTTGATTTCAACAATGACCAGAGGAAATTAATAAGGAAACTGACACTATAATTGTGCTATCACATGACTGTAACACAATGTACAGCGTTAGTCTAATGCCTGTTTTTAACCATTTTTGTAAGGTAAGGCACTGAATGCTAAAAACATTGTATCCTTCTATTAACCTTTCCTTTCAGGTACTTTGCCTCCCCCTGAACTCTTTATTGCTGATCTTGAAGATGACCTAGAAAGACTACGTGAAAAACTTAACAGACTCAGAATGACAGGTGAGTGAAACATTTGTATTGGCCCCGTTGAACAGTGAAGATACTATTTTTATCTTTTATTTGTGAGGATAATGGTGTCGCCATGGTTACTAACATGACTAGCCAATTACAAGAGAGCTTCCCGCTCAGGCCGGTTCTTTTGCTGTTATAAAATTTTTCCCTTCTTCATTAGAATTTTGACTTTTTGGAACAGAAAATATAAGTACTATTGTCTTTATTTGGCCTTTATAACTTTATTTCCCAGTTTCATAACATTTCTGTGACAGGCATTTTGCGATAGGTGACCACTTTAATTGCAATTCTTTGCTGTTTCGAAAATGAATAAAAAAAAGTTGTCTTTTATGTAGGAATTTCATCAGTATCTTTAGAATAAACAGAACATTACATGGCCGCTTGGGGATACTCGTGCTGAAAGTATTTCTCACGAGTGAGCTCCGCTCACTCGTGAGAATACTTTCAGCACGAGAAGATAAAATTCGTATCCCCAAGCGGCCATTTAATATCCTCTATAACTTCTCTTAAATATCTAAGCCCTGCATGCAACTTACAAAACATCTGCGCCAGTCATTACATGTTAAAACATGGAATGGTGTGTATCTACTCCATATTTAAGATAAATCCCTCCTCTTATATAATACTTTCAACCAAGAATGCTGTTAAATTCTCTAAACCATTTTGCTGTTTACTTCTTCTCTCAGGTAGATCACATCCCCTCGTTTCCACCATTGAAGTAGAACTCGGCGAACTACTCAAGCAACTTCGGAAATGGTGGAAGGAAGGTGAATAAATAATGCACATTTAAAGAGAAAATAATCGAAGTTGAATGGTATTAAAATACTTCCAGTTCCTTGTAGGATTACATTACCGCTCGCGTATACGTTAACCAAAAAGGGAAAAATAAAACGCATGCAATTGCGAATAAAAAAAATGTGCGCGTCAAAAAATCGCACGTGCGCGCATAAGCTTGATACGTCTGCCTCAGTAGTATATACGAGGTGGTCCTTTTGTTTTTCTATTGTTGGCGGTTTACCGTTTTAAAGAATAGACTACGATGTAATAGCACTAAGATACAATACGGCTACCAACGACAAGCAAACTTGTTCGTTTCAATCACCGTTCTAACCGACCTTCCCGATATGCCGTTACAAACTACTGCGACTTCGTAATCGGAATATATAAATAATTTATCATTTTCCAAATGAATTATTTTATCAAAATAGCTATTTGTCACTCGGTTAAAAAAAAAAACATCCGTCACAACGGCTTGGCAATTCAAAATAAATTTACTCTCAGTGTATCGTAATTAGAAGCAGTTGAAGAATCGGCTAAGGCGTCCGTTTGTAACCAGTTGTCGCATTCTTAATGCCAACCCGCGCGCGAATGTTTATTTCATAGCTTTATCATCGGTGAACATGCTGTTCTCGAAAACCGGTTCGTTCATCGCGCCATTTATTAAAAAACTAATAAGTTCCACTAACTTATTTTAATGGTTTTGTTTAATGGTGTTGTTGAAAAAAATTAATCATTAACTAAAACAAAAATAATTGATTAGATGAGAAAAATATTACAGTGAATTTTATGGGAAATATTAAAGGAAAAAGAATTGTAGGAAAAAGAACTGTAGGGCTGATTTAGACAACCAAAAAAAAGTATTTTAAGCTTTCTGAATGGCTAATAAAAAATATATATATTTAATATAATTAATACATTAATATAATAAATAGATCCTTAAAACATTGTCAAAAGTTATATATTTCGGCAAAACGATACGATTTCGTTACTTCAGTCGACGGCCCAAAGGTTAAACTATGAATGAAGCGCTGACAACTAGACTTTACTTACTTACAGAATACAAGGAAATTTAGATCTTGTCATGAGCTGTCATAAAAACTTACAATAAAATTACGTGTCATGCACCGTCAATAAATGATTCGAAAAACGGGAACATCGGAGTATTTTTCTTTTTTCCTTTTATTCGGGGTTTTTATTGAATGAGGGCGACAGTTCTTTTTCCTTTAATATTTCCCATTAAATTGACTGCAATATTTTTCTTATCATTTTTTTTTGGTTAATAGTTAACTTTTTCCCACTTTTTCACTCGTGGTCACTCGTGCGTACTTTTAGACATGATCGTCAAAGTTGCAATTGTTTATTGTATAGTAAATGGTTTGAAGCCGGGGGTAACATGCAATAGTATAGTTTGATCGTCCGGGTGAGTGTAGTCCTGAGAAGGACTGTTGTCGGTAGTGGTGACTGACGTTTCGACAATCTGAGCGGTAGTCATCATCAGAATCAAGTGAAAGGTTGTTGTCAGTCGAATGTACTTACTCCGGTTTGTGTACACTGATTGGTCAGTTTTGCCGTGATGTTATTGGCTGTAAGACTCAAGTGGCGTAGGTCAGTCGTGATTGGTCGGTTTGGAACCGTTAGTGAAGTTAGGTCGTTCTGTTCGGTTCGTTTGTAATGCTAATGTCGTGGATGAGTTGTTTGTATGGTGCCGGTAGTGGTTGACACCTGTTGAGGGAAGTCTTATCCAAGTTAGTAAACCAGCTTTCCAGGGTCAGTCGTTGAAAGTAGTTGGTACTGTAGGTTAGGCATTACGCAGAGTCCCGGTCAATAGTGTGGTTCGTAAGTCGGTGATGTTCAGCAATGTGATTGTTGACATCGCCTTTCCTCGTCGCTCGTTTGTGTTCAGTCAGTCTAGTTGCGAGGTTTCTGCCAGTCTCACCGATGTAGGAGGTGTGGCAGTCGGAGCAATTGATCTTATATACTGCTCCTTGTCTGTTCCTCGGTTCGTCTCTGTCTTTGATGTTAGTCAGTAACTGACGTAGTGTGGTAATAGGTTTGTGAGCGACGCGGATATTGAATGGTTGTAGGATGCGTGAGATGTTCTCAGATATGCCCTTTATGTATGGTATAGTGGCTGTGGTCGTATGAGTTGCGTTGCCGTTAGCTTCGGTAGTAGTAGTAGGTCTGTGAGTGTTACGTTGGATAAAGTCTTCGTTGTAGTTGTTCTTTGAAAAAACACGGTTCAGGTACTTGTTCTCGTCGGATAAGCTGTCTGTCGTATTACATACTAATTGCGCTCGTCGGGTAAGAGTCCTGATAGTAGTGGCTTTGTGTGATGTCGGGTTGTAGGATGACTCGTCCAGTAATCTGTCAGTATGTGTCGGTTTCCTGTAAACTGTTGTCCGTAGTGAATTGTCGTCACGGCTTACCAAGCAGTCTAGAAAAGGTAGTTTACCATTTTCTTCGACCTCTCTAGTAAACTGTATGTCAGTGTTTTGTTCGTTAAGGTGGTGGTGGAATGCGTCGATTTCGTCGTGTCGTACGGCAGTGAAAGTATCGTCAACGTAGCGTAACCAAAGTGGTATCGTCTGTCGGCAAGTCGAAAGGGCGCTTTCCTCGATGTTCTGCATCACAATTTCTGCTACAACAACAGAAACTGGAGACCCCATAGCTGTACCGTGTAACTGTTTGTAGTGTTTGCCGTTGTACTGAAAGTAAGTTGATGTCAGGCAAAGGTTTAGTAAGTCCATAATGTCCTCTGTCGGTAGCGGTGGAGGGTCGGTAGATTGTAGGATAGCAGTCTCAGTATATTGTAATGCCAGTTGAAGTGGAATACTTGTAAAAAGCGATTTCACATCAAATGACACTAGTTTGTAGTCGTCAGGTATCTGTACAGTCTTAGTGGCGTTAATGAAGTCCTCGGTGGATTGTAGTTTTCGTCTGGATTTGTCGGTGAGCGGTTGTAGTATTGTTGTTAGGTACTTGGACAGTTGGTATGTCGGAGAACCACAGAAGGAAACAATAGGTTGCATTGGGAAACCAGGTTTGTGTAGTTTCGGCAGAGCATAAAGTTTCGGTGGCTGTGGTACTGAGCACCTTAGTCGGTAGTAGCGCCATTCCGCCGTTCGGCCGTTCCGGCTTTTAGGGTTGCCCGAAATTGGGAAGCAATATTAGTGAGTATTCGCTTCGTTACTCGCTTAATTATACCCGTGTTTCGATGCCTTTTGTAAGTGACATTTTCCTTCCCAGCTAATTCATTAACAACTCAAATCAAGCAAATATTCTGCTACTACTCGTTATTCCATAAATTCGCGAAGCGATGCGACATGCGTAGCAGTCGATGCGACAGTGTAGCATTATAGCTTTTTTCATTAAGTAAATTTTCCGTTGTCGACTCGTCTCATTTTCAAACCTAAAAGTTCTTTGTTTTACACACCAATGTAATGCAAAGGATACTTATAGTACTGAATAACAAAGGCACACGAGTTGCACATTTTTTTCCACCGTGCGCGCAAAACAGTCGTATATGTGCGCCTGACTACCGTGCGTCTGAGCGTATGTAATTCGTCTTCGCAGTTAACACATACGCGAGGGGTACTGTATCATTCATAACTCTGAGGGACTACAAACCGAACTTCGTTAACAAACCGACCTGCCGACTAATCAGCCCCACCAAATCCGAGATTGGCAGAATCAGCAAAGCAATCCTCGACAGAATCATCAACAAAATCACGAGAGCAACACGGTATCTGTGATCGAGTGGTTTAAAGCCATTAAAAACAAAAACGCACCACAGTTTTATTTGCTTTGACATCGAAGAATTCTATCCCTCCATTAGCCAAGACCTCCTGAACAGAGCACTCGACTTAGCTTCAACCTACGACGTCACCAACGACGAAGAAACATCATGTAACACATGCAAAACATTCGATCCTTATGCACAAACAGCAACCTTGGTAAAAGAAGGTCGATACAGCATTTGACGTCCCAATGGGCAGCTACGACGGTGCTGAAACATGCGAGCTAGTAGGAAGCCTTCCTCCTTTCCCAACTTCGAAACATCAACATCAGACTTTTCATTTCAAACGCCACACCCAGAGAAACAGATAAAAGAAAATTTGCCGAGGTTTTTTCGACGAGGCGTCGTAAGAAGTTGTTTCGTGATGGTAGAGGAATATACAACCATCGCAGAACGATTTCTCACAACGCCTCGTCGAAAAAATCGAGTAGTTTCTACGCAGAATGCACTGGAAAGCTTACTTCTTCTTCAACCCTGATACGACCACATGCTCTTAAGACACATACGACTTCAAGTCTACCAAGAACCCCTCTCGGATCGACTAGTTAAAGGAATTTGAAGATGACATGCTAAAGATGATATTTACAAAACATTTTAAACATGTAGACTGAACAGTTTTTCAGTTATTCTTAACAGATTTTTTTCGGTTTTAGAGCATTTTTGTTCAAATAAAGGTAATCTACTTTTACTTTTGAAAAAGTAAAAAATCAAACATTATCAACACTAGGTAAACATCACTAGGAAGATTAAATATTCTAGCCATGTAAATAGCCCAATGGCATTAAATGTTTTGATATTTTTTCCAGTAAATACTTTTAAAAGAAATTATTCCCTACCTGAGATATTAACCTTTTTCTGTCTTTACTTTCATCCATAAATACTGTTAAATGTTCTCAGCTATTATTCAGCAACTAAGAATTGGTTAGGAACATATTTTCAATTCAGGTTTGCCTCTAAATCCATAATTTCAGTCAAAAGTAGTATTGAATTAACCGTGGCATGCGATAATGAAGAAATACTTAAAGATAGCTTATTTCGTTGTTCTCTCCCTTGACCTATACAGATGTTATTATGCTTTAAATTTTTATATCAGGTGAGGCACTAAGTGCTAAATATATTTCTGTGTACCTTTGCTCTCAGGAAGTTTTCCTGTCCTTAAATTTTCGACATGTTATCTTGAGGTATTACTAGCTGAACTAAGCGATGAGCTTCAGAGGTTCGGAATGGAAGGTGAATATAAAATGTTTATTGATTCATTATCAGAGAGAAATAAATACAAGCTTGCTATTAAAGGCTTTCACCCCTGTATCAAAATATCATTTTTCAAGGGAAATTATTCCTTATTTAAAAGAACCTGTAGTCTGATTTTATTACTATTGATGAATACTTCCACTCTTTATTCAATTCATTTATTTTCAAGGGAAACTATTCCCAAGTAAAGATGATCCCTCTTCCTTTATACTTTTGGCTATTATGTAAAGTGTTAGCTTTTATATGAAATTTTTCTTAATTTAGTTTTTGCTAATTCTGTGCTGTGGTGAAAGGGAGTATTAAGTTGGCTGTGGCTTATTATGATGAGACAATTTTTCTAAATGGTTGATTTCAACAATGACCATAGGAGATTAATCAGAAAACTGACACTATAACTGTGCTATCACATGACCCCAACACAATGTACAGTGCTAGTTAAATGCCTGTTTTTAATCATTTATGTGAAATAAGGCACTGAGTGCTAAATACAGTGTATCCTTCTGTTTACCTTTCCTTTCAGGTACTTTTCTCTCCCCTGCACTCTTAACTGCTGATCTTGAAGAAAAACTAAAAAAACTACTCACAGAACTTGAGCGACAAAGAGATAAAGGTGAGTAAAACATGTGTATTGGCTCCGTTGAACAGGGCAAAAGAAATATGGAAAGTGATGCAAGGAAATGGTTGCACTAGTATTTTAGGCTTGTTTTTCTAAGTAACAAGCTGAAAGGTTTTAGTTTGCCATAAAGGACTCCTAATTATATTATCTTCCCTCAAATATCTAAGTCCTGCATGCAACTTGCAAAACATCTCCACCACCCATTACATGTTAAAACATGGAATGAACTAACCCCTCCTCTTATATAATGCTATCAACCAAGAATGCTGTTAAATGCTTTATACCATTTTGCTTCCTTCTCTCAGTTAGTTTACCTCCCACTTTTTCCACCATTGAAGTAGAAGTAGACGAACTACTCAAGAAATTTCAGAAATGGCGGATCGAAGGTGAATAAATAATGCACATTTAGAGAAAAAATAATTGTAGTAGAATGCTATTAAAATATTTCCAGTTCCTTGTAGAATAATATTACCGCTCGTGTATACATTAACCAAAAAACGCGAATAAAACGCGCCAAAAATCGCATGCAAATGCGAATTTAAAAAAATGTGCGCGTCAAAAAACTGCACATGCGCGCATAAGCTTGATACGTCTGCCTCGTTAGTATATATGAGGTAATCCTTTTGTTTTTCTATTGTTGGCGGTTTACCGTTTTAAAGAATAGGCTAAATAGAAAAACGAATAGAAAAAAATAGAAAATAGAAATAATAGAATAGAAAAACAAAATAATTATAAGTTTTTGTATAAATGGCGCGATGAATAAACCAGTTTTCGAGAATAGCATGTTCACCGATGATAAAGCTATGAAATAAACGTTCACGCGTGGGTTTGCATTAAGAATGCGACAACTGGTTACCGAGAACGAATTCTCAAGGCCGTTGTGACGGATTTTTTTTTTTATACGAAGTGACAAATTTTGATTAAAGAATTCCGTTGGAAAATGATAAATCATTCATATATTCCTATTATGACGTCGCAGTAGTTTGTAACAGCATATCGGGAAGGTCGGTTAGAACGGTGATTGAAACGAACAAGTTTTCTTGTCGTTAGTAGCAGTGTAGTATTTTAGTCCTGTTACATTGTAGCCAAAAAAAGCATGCAATTGCGAATTTAAAAAAATGTGCACGTCAAAAAATCGCGCGTGCGCGCATAAGCTTGATAAGTCTGCCTCTTCGTTCTTCGATAAATTCGCGAACCGATGTGACATGCATTAGTGTAACATTATAGCTTTTTTCATAACGTGAGTTTTCCGTTATCGACTCGTCGCATTTTCAAACCTAAAAGTTATTTGTTCTACACAACGATGAAATACAAAGGAAATTTATAGCCCTGAATAACAAAGGCACATGAGTCGCGCATTTTTTCGACCGTGCGAGCAAAACAATCGTATATGCGCGTCCGACTACCCTGAGTCTGAGCGTACGTAATTCGTCTGCGCAGTTAACAAATACGCAAGCGGTACTGTAAAATATTTTCCAGGGAACTCCTGCATATGCAGCCTTCTACTGCAGTAATTATTAACAATTGCTATGCTCATTGGAGGCCTTATACATCAGTTATGTTCCTCCATTGGCACCCAGCACTTAGACGGAGACTGTTTTCACGGGTTGTAAATCCTGGCAACCCAGCCCATGAGGAGAAAACCTCCCATTGCACTAGAAAATAAAAATTGTAGAAGAAAAGGAGCAAAATACCAGTGAAAAGTGAATTTCTTCTTGGTGGATGTTAAAAAAATATCTGGCTTCTTAGGATAAGCTCATTCTGGTCCTGGAAACTTTCAAATTTTTCTAAATATGCAAAATTACATGTACTGTTTCATGTTATACACAGTTTGCGTGGTGCGCGCGTGCAGTGGTTTAGATCTGCGCAAGTGTCAAGTGCGCGGTATTGTAGTGGATACTACTCCGGCTTTTTATCAGATTGCCAAGGCGTTTTTAATTGTATCCATTTACACCCTTCAGTTTGTTAAGGCACTGCAAACTTTAATGTACGGGTCAAAGCCAGAACACAGTGTTCACATGCAGTTTGTAACTTGGATTTTGTTAATTGAACGTTGAAGAGCCTTTGTGGAAGCTACCTTAGAGTTACAATAATCACATGTGCTACCTGACGTTATTAACTTTACCTCATACTATCGCTGGCCACACCTGTGGGTAATATGAAGAGAATCCTGTGTTGGGATTGACTATCTAAACAGACACTCCTTAGTACAGGAGGAGGAGTATGTAGGAGGGTCTCAATGAAGTTAACCATAAACCGTAAAATGGAAAAAAAAATAGCCTTAGGCATAAAAATCGACAAATTTCAACTGTCAGTCGTAAAAATGGATTACTGAAAAAATTTTTCTTTAAAATTCTTTACAGATTTTTGCAAGATTTTCATTGGAGGGGCTATGAAAGAAAATGTTTCTAGTTTTTACACGTTGGGTGTTTTTAAAAATAGTTTGAGGTATGTTTATGGTTCAAAATGTTTGTCCTCTTGTAAATCTGATTTTAGGTGGTTTATCCTCTGAATTCCACTCCACAAGTTCAATCAGTGAAAGTCCACAAAAAAAAGAACAATGGGAAAAAAGTGAACAGGAGGCAAAGATTGTGGAGACAGCGAAATTGGAAGGTGAAAAGGAAATTAAAAAAACTTATATTAAGTTATATGGAAAGCTGTTATTTTTGAAGTTAATGTAATTGAAACTTGTTGCTCATTATGTTCAGCTACTACCAGTAAGCCAAGTAAAAAGTTGTATTGTATTGCAAGTTATTGACTATTTAATGTTCTTCATGTTTGTTGAGTTTTTCCCTTTGTTATTGGGAAAAGTACCCGCTTTTAAGTGGATTTAGTTGATCTACCCTTAAAACTGATATCAAAGCACCTTGAAATGAATAAAAAGATGTGGGGCTTACTACTTTCAGTTGTTTTTGCTGACGTGTTGAAGTCTAACATGGGTTCCAGTTTGGGTTCAGATCCCCCTGACATGCTCCAAGAAAAAAAAGAAAACAATTTAGCAAATCACTGACTTGTTGTTTTGATGCATTGACATTGAAGAAGTGGAAGAATTCATCCGTGCGTAAATTGGCCTAAAAAGTTGTAGGAGTGAAGCCATGAAACTTCAGGAAAAAAATGAGAAATCAAGAAAGAACGTGAATGTGGTTTTAGTCATCTTTTAGAATAGAAATTAATGTTATTAATAAGCAAGAATGCTTCTGTCAGCAATTATGAAAAATGATACTTGTCAATGTAAATTATTAGAAATGTGTCTCTGCCTCATTCTCTTCTCTAGTTAAAGGTAGTGCTGAGTTTCCATGCAATGAATTAAGGAAACGTTACATACATTTAGAGTGATTACTTTTGCAGTTGTTCTCATTGGTTTTTTTTTTGGTTTTAAAGCTTTTGTTTTTAAATGAAGGTAATCTACAGTGTACATGTACCTACTAGTATCTTTAAATGCAAGTTAGTATGCCTTTTCCCAACTATTAATTAGTAGAAATGGTAATATCTCCCTGCATACCTTTGTTTATAGGCATGTTTCCTCTTCCTGGATCTTCCACCTTTGATCTTGAAGAAGAACTAGAAGAGCTATGTAAGAAACTTCGAATAATGGAAGGTGAATAAAAATATGCTGTTAAATTAAATTTTGTGGTAAAACTAAACCAAGAATGCTTTTAAATACATTTAGTTCTCATTCAAAATATTTTTTTTGAAAGGAAATTTCACCCAATTTAGTTTTCCCTCACTCTGTGTTTTGCTGTAAGGGAATATTAAGATGGTAGAGGCTGAGGATGGTGAAACAGCATATAATGATAAACTAAGTTTTATCGGTGTTGATCTTAAATTATGCCTTAAAAAACTGACAATGATGTAGTTTAGATAGATTTTGTACATCATATACAATCAGTTAATCACATGTTGGTTTGACCTGTTATCGTGTCGCTATTAAAAGTAACACCATGAATTTCACTTTGTACCCTACCCCTGAGGGTTGACTCCCATTGCTATGGACACCCTCGCAGGGAGATTAAATGTCTGAAATAGCGAAAAGTCTGTAATAACGGGGTGCGAGAGATAGGAAATTGTTTCGTTTCTTAACTTATGAAATAAAGTTTCCAACGTGGCCTCACAAACGGGAAAGAGATCTGGCCGCAAGCAGGAAATTCTCATGTTCACACCCTGTTGAAGAATGGTTTCTTTTTTTTCCTTTTTCATAATGTCGCTTTATAGTATATTAGTGAGGATTTTGGATGAAGCATTAAGTGTCTGTTATAGCAAGAGAAAAGAACAAGTGAAACTTCGTGTTAGGGGGGCTTGAAAGTGTCTACATTTCGGTAAAAGGAAGAGTCCGTTTTAAAGGGAATTTATTTCGTTTCTTCATGCTTTTCCCCCGGGGCTGGCTCTTGTTTGCAGTGGCGAGGTGTCTGTAATAGTGAGGGGTACGCAAGGCTAGAGTAAACTGTAGACTAATCCAAATTTGACATTGTTTCATTCTATACTTTAGCTAAGGATGGTATAGAGTCGGCATGTGGTAAAAATACACAATAGTTGTTTTCAACGATGATCGTGGAGTTATAATGAAGAACTTACACTGTTTACTTTAATATGACAATAATTTGCTGTTTGCACAAGTATATCTGTTGTTATCTTTTATGTTTAAAGTCAGACACTGAATTTTGAAAAGCTCTGTATACCTTTACCCCCAGGTTCTCTCCACTCTCTCCCCACCACTGATCTTAAGGAAAAGCTAGAGCAAGTATTGGAGGAAACTGAGATGCTGAGAATGATAGGTGAATAGAAAAATTCATATCTTGTTATTTTTTAGAGAGATACTGGTACAAGAATGCTAACAACTCTCCATAAAGTTTGCTTAGGTTTAAAAAATAAACTAAGATATTTAATACGTAAAAACCAAACATTTTCGAAACCAGGTCATCATCAGGGTGATGATGACCTAGTGTCGAAAATGTTTGCTTTCTATATTTTTTAAATATTTTAGCCATGTAAATAGCTCAATGCCATGAAATGAATTCATATTTTTTCCAGTAAACACTTTAAGAGAAATTATTCCCTACCTGAGATATTAACCATTTTTTGTCTTTACTTTCATCCAAGAATGCTGTGAAATGTTCTCAGCTGTTATTCAGTAACTTTGTTTTGTTGAGGAAAATATTTTTAATTCAGTTTTGACTCTTAATCCTCAATTTCAGTTAAAGGAAGTATTAAATTGGCTGTTGCATGTGATAATGAAATATTATTTATAGATAGGTTATTTCACAATGATATAATGGAAAACTTGCATTATTGTTCTTTCACTTGACCTCGATACACGTTATCATGCTTTAACTTTTTTATCAGGTGAGGTACTTAGTGCTAAATATATTTCTGTGTACCTTTGATCTCAGGTGATTTTTCTTTCCTTCAATTTTCAACCATTGATCTTGAGAAAAAACTAGCTGAACTACGTATGAAGCTTCAGAGGCTCAGAATGGAAGGTGAATATAAAATGTTTATTGATTCATTATCAGAGAGAAATAAATCCAAGAATGCCGTTAAAGGCTTCCACCCCCGTATCGAATTATCACTTTTCAAGGAAAATTATTCCTTATTTAAAATAATCTGTTATCTGATTTTATTACTATTGATGAATGCTTTCACTCCTTATTCAAATTATACATTTTCATGGGAAACTATTCCTTAGTAAAGATGATCCCTCTTCCTTTATAATTATTAAGTGAGATAGTTATCTAATACTTTCAGTTCTTCATATGAGCCTAGTACAATGTGAAGTGTTTGTTAAATGCCTGTTTTTAACCATTTATGCGAGGTAAGGCACTGAATGCTGAATACAGTGTATCTCTCTGTTTACCTTTCCTTTCAGGTACTTTGCCTCCCCCTGAACTCTTTTCTACTGATCTTGAAGATGAACTAGAACGACTTACACGACTTCTTATGCTTGAACCAAGAGAAGGAATGAAAGGTGAGTGAAACATGCGTATGGGCTCCGTTGAACAGGGCAAAAGAAATATGGAAAGTGATGCAAAGAAATGGTTACACTAGTATTTCAGGCTGGATTTTTTAAGTAACAAGCTGAAAGGTGAAACACTTTCTCTGAGTTTGTTATAAAGGGTTCCTATTATTTTCTCTCAAATATCTCAGCCCTGCATGCAACTTGCAAAAAATCTGCGCTGCTCATTACATGTTGAAGCGTTGAATAATATGTATTTACTCCATATTTAATATAACCCCTCCTCTTATATAATGTTACCAACGAAGAATGGTGTTTAAAAATTCTTTAAACCTTTTTGTTGTTTACTTCTTCTCTCAGGTAGTTTACGTTCCCTTTTTTCCACCATTTATACAGTACATGAACTACGCCAGGAACTTGAGGACGTCAAGGTGGAAGGTGAATAAGTAATGTACATTTAGAGAAAAAAAAATTTTATTAGAATGCTATGAAACACTCCCGCTTCTTTATCGAAGTATCTTTTTCCACTGAACTCCTGCACGTGCAGTCTTTTTCTGCAGTAATTATTAACAACCGCAATGCTTATTAGAGGCCTAAGATATAAATTACATTATTACATTGGCACCCAGCACTTAGATGGAGACTGTTTTCACGAGCAACCCAGCCATCAGCCGTCATGCAGTAAGGAGACAACCTCACATTGCATTAGAAAAAGAAAATAATAAAAGAAAGGAAACAAAAGCTCAGGGAAAATTGAATTTCTTCTTAGCACGTGTTAAAAAATAACTGGCTTCTTAGGATAAGCTCATGCTGGTCTTAGAAACTTCCCAATTTTGGTACATATGCAAAATTACAGGTACTGTTTCATGTTATGCGTAGTTTCGTGGTGCGTGCTTGCAGTGCACGGGATTTGCACGCACATCAAGTGCGCGGTACTGTCGTGAATCTTGGATACAACTCTAGCATTCTATCAGAGTGGTTAGGCATTTTTAATCGTATCCATTTACAACCTTGATGTGTTAAGACCCCGCAAGCGTCAAATTGTGCTCTAATTCAGAACAAGGTGTACACATGCAGTTTTTAAATTGAGTTTGTGTGTCGAACGTTGAGGAGCCTTTGTGTAAGCCACCTCAGAGTTACGATGACCACATCGCGTTACCAGAGGTTATTAGCATTTCCATATTGCTGCTTCAATAGTGCATGTAGTACTAATGCATGTGAGTGAACTGTAGTACGTGTAGGAGGGTCTCAATGGGGCTAACCGTTAAACGTAATATAGCAAAAACATTTTGCCGTCAGTCGTAAAAATTGACGAATTTCAACGTTAGTCTTAACTTAAACGTAATATAGCAAAAACATTTTGCCGTCAGTCGTAAAAATTGACGAATTTCAACGTTAGTCTTAACATAACGTAACTGTTTATTCACAATTCAAGTTTTAATGAAAGGTAAAAAGGAAACAAAAGAGGTTACCCTTTCAAGTTTGTTTCCTAAAATAATTAAAAATTACGGTAAAATAGTTCAAAATTTCCTAAAACATTAGTAAAATGGCGTCTGACTCTGTTCTTGAAAATGTTTAGAGTTTCTGCCTCTGCATCTTTTTTAGGTAAATTATTCCATTCATTGACTATATTTGCACAGAAAGAATACTTAAAACTGTTCAGCTTTGCGGGCAATGGTTTAAGTTTATGGCGATGGTTGGTTCTTAATGGTCGAAAATCATGTGCAAATGTAAAATACTCAAATGGGTGAAGCCCGTTAAGACGGTTAGCCGTCTTATAGCACTCGGTAAGCGAAGAAAATAATCTTCTCTGATGTAGAGTTAGCCATTTAAGGACCTTTAAGCGCTCTTCATATGACATATCTCGGGCAATGTTTCTGATTGCATATCTAGGTGTTCTGCGTCGTACTTTCTCTTAAATAACCGAATCCTTTTTGAGGTGTGGAGACCACACTGGAGAGCAGCACTGAAGTATTGGACGTACTAAACTCATATACAATTTCGAGAACAATTTAGGATTCCTGGGGCCCTTTCTTCGACCTATAAATCGGAGAACGTTGTTTACCTTGTTTTCAGGCTCCATGATAGATTTGATGTGATGTGAATTCCAAGATCCTTAACTTATTTATTTATTTAAGGATTTGTGCAAAGTAGTACCGGATAGTTTTCTTTTTTAAATGTCTTCATATCTTTAGGTATATTGTTCCACAAATTTGCTATCCTATTAAAATAGAAGTCCCATTAACCTATTTGCGTTAGCAACTATCATGAGTATATAATCCTTCCAAGAGGTGTCATTTACGATCACTACCCCTAAATCTTTTTTAGTTGAGACAACCTCCACATCTATACCATTTATACTATAGCTACGATATGAACTAATACGCTTCCTAGATATACGCAGATTACTGCACTTTGTAGGCTGAAAATACAATTAATTTGACAAGGACCAAGTTGTAAGCGAAACTAAATCCTGCTGCAATTTCGAAAAATCAGCATCATTATTTATGATCCCATAACATCTAGAATCGTCAGCAAACATAGCCAGCGTCACACTATTAATTACATTTGGCATGTCATTTACAAATAATAAAAAGAGAATCGGTCCTTGAAGTGACTCCTGGGGTACACCTGACCCAATGCCAGTCCAATTACTGAAAGTTCCATTTATAACCACTCTTTGACGCCTTCCAGTTAGGTATGAGTAAAACCAGGCGAGTAGGGGATCATCGATTCCAAACGTTTTTAGCTTCAACACGAGCTTTGCCGGGCACACAGAATCGAAAGCCTTGGCAAAGTGCAAGTAAATTATGTCTGATTCTAACTTGCGGTCCAGTGCATGACCAATGTCATAGAATACTTTAATAAGCTGAGTAACGCAAGACTTGCCCTTCTGAAAACCATGTTGAAAAGGATACAAGATCTTCTTAACGTGAGGGACAAGGCGCGAGGCCACACACTTCTCCTGAACTTTAGAGATCACTGGAAGTAACGACACGGGGCGATAATTTTCGGCAAACTCTCTTTTCCCTCAACTATAAGGTTAGATTACAAAGAGTTAACCAAAGAAATATTTCTTTTGAACTCCTTAACAAGAAAAAGTTAGCCCTAATATGGCCAAAATTTTAACCGTTAGCCGCAAAAGCCATCACCCCATTGAGACCCTCGTGTAGCTCGTGCATTAACAAAACGTGTTGGTGGTATCTTCAAATGATAAATTTAAATTTGATCCCAAGCTTGTCCGTGATCTTTCACAGTTAATGACAACATTGACTCTTGCGTTGTCTTTTAAGTAGTTCCTCATTTTAATAATTTCTCTGAACTGAGAATGTGACCTTAAGTACTAAAATAGTTTGTGTCTTTTTGTGTCCTTCATGATAGCATTAGAGAACGCCATGTATCCGACCATTAGATCAGGACTGGCGAAGTTTGATGTCAGCTTACCCGGGGAACTCCAGAAATATGTCAGCACCTTATTAAATGAGTCAGCCAAACTTCACTTCCGCAAGCAAGGTACTTAACATTGTTAAAATAAGCTTGTATTGGCTTTGAAACATATGTCCAGCTATCTATATTCGGTGGTAAGATTATTGAGAAATGCTGGGTTTGTGTAATGGTCAAGGAATTTTTCTTTTAACCCAGATTTGTGATCTAGTGTTGGGTTTTTTTCATTCTCAGTAGATCTGGTACCTTAATGTAATCATCAAATGAGCTGCGCGGTCTAATGCCCGTTCCTAATAAGAAAAGAAAAGATTTATAAATAAACCCCTTTATGAAGGCCATGCGCGGTTGCCCTGGCAGGGGCATTAAAAGCTGCGGGGCCAAGCGTGCGTCCATGCGAGAAGAAAGTAGAATGAGTAGAGCGGCGTTCATGGACTAAAAATCTGATTGACTGAGTAAGATCAAGCTGGACCCACATGACCCCTCTACTCAGTCCATAAGTGCATAGAATTCTGATGTTAAAGCTGGTCGCTTATGTGGTGTAACTTTAGTACTTTATGATCGTGTTTTCAAGAAAAGACATCTCTTTCCATTTATCAACACTAGTACTTCGTTGTTATGTTTGCAAAGTGAAAACAGTTTTTTTCTCTTGTGTTCTTGAAAATATTCTGAAACTTTAAAACCAGATTTGGGAAAAAACAACGACAGCATGCAACTTTTCTCGCACGCATTTTCGACTCTAAGAGTTTTAGATTACTAGGGAGGGGAAAGATGATATTGGAATAAAACTTTATGACAATGAATTACTCCTTCGCAAATGATTTGCTGACATTTTAAGACTTCTTGGAAAACAAAAAGAAAAAGGGCCTAGCTTAATGTTTTTGGTATCGCACGACCTTTATTGTTCATTCTGTCCGTCTCCTTGTTTTCCCAACTGGTTTCCTTTTACTTGGGATGATTCAACAATAAGTCGAAACACGGAGACTCGATTTTTTCTTGTTTCCAATTTGTTTAGGTATTTTTTGTCAGTTTTTGGACAAAAACAATGTAAAGGTAGTTTTTTTCGCTGTATTGTTTTCAAGTAAAAATTAATATTTCTTTTGTTTTAATCCTTTAGTACTCCAACCACCTCGTGTCTTGGAGGAATTACGAGAAGCAATGGATAAAGACGAATTGATAGCATTCCTTACTATTCACATCAGAGAAGGTGCATGGCAGGTGGTGCTGCTGTTTACGGATGAGCTCCCCAGGGTTAAACTACCACGGGACTGGTGTGGTATAATTCATAACGAGGACGAGGACGAGGAGGTGTCTAATGAAGTGATATACAGTTCGACTTCAGGCATATTGAATGTGTGGCCAACAGAGTACGACCCTGATTTGATAACACTGTGTAAAGCGATCACCAACAGGGACTGGAAAGTAACCAGATTAATTCTCTCAAGGAGTCGGATATCTGATGAAGGTTTGAAGAACTTGAGTACAGCGCTTCCTCAGAGTGAACTTTACAGCTTGACACTGCATGGCAATGATTTACAAAGTCAAGGATTAAAATACCTGTGTGAAGTGCTGATCAGTAGTGACTGCCACTTAACCAGCTTAAACGTCAGTTTCAATAGGTTAGGAGACGAAGGAATCGTGCTCTTGAGTAACGCGCTAACCAGCGTTAACTGCAGATTAACCACCTTAAACGTCAGTGATAATAGGTGGGGAGACGAAGGAATCGAATACTTGTGTAACGCACTAACCAGCATTGACTGTACATTAACCAGCTTAAACGTCAGTGACAATAAGTTTGGAGACGAAGGAATCATGCACTTGTGTAACGCGCTAACCAGCGTTAACTGCAGATTAACAAGCTTAAACGCCAGTTACATTCAGTGGGGAGAGAAGGGATTGAAACACTTGTGTGATGGACTTACCAGCAGTAACTGTGTGTTAACCAAATTGAAAATCGGTTCTATTAGATTAGGAGATGGAGGAATCAAAGAATTGTCTGGAGCTTTAACCAACGGATTCTGTACATTAACAAGTTTAGACATAAGCAACAATAAATTTGGAGATGAAGGAATCAAGCACCTGTGTAAGGCCTTGACTGATACCAACTGCAAACTACGGAGCTTAGACTACCACGGAAATCGGAATGTAACTGATAAAGGCAGAAAATATTTGTCTCAAATGTTAACTGGTACTGATTGGGAAGTTAGAGGAGCACAACTTTCCCGTTCAACTACAAAGTAGACCAAGTAACAAGTCAGAGTCATAGAGACCTGACAGGTTCCTCCTGTTACGTTTCGCTTGTCATGAAATAAATTCCATTTTTATAAATGACAACTTAGAGATTACTGTTCAAGGTGCTTAATTAGATAACTGACCTTGTAGTCACTATCACTTGTTGAACGGAGTATTAAAAATGACCAGCAGTGAGGCAGTCGAAACATCGCGATCAAGAATTGAGAAATGACTCAGTATCATGACACAAATGATTATTTAACGTTCATTATTCGATAGACGAATTTCTCTGTGTTAAAAAAATAGGCTATAAATGCAACTGCAATTTCGTATAACGGGTCTGTTGGCAATAATGTTGTTACTTTTGTAACAAAAAGTTTCAAACTACAGACAATAGGTTATACTGGTGATTTAGCTGTAATGAGATGCCAAAAATATTGAAATAAGAGAGATGATAAGTTTTGAGCTCGGTAAAGAAATAGAGAAGGATATTTTCTTCGCCTTGTCACGAGCGAGGGACAAAGGAAAAGTTCTGAGTCCCCATGTCATATGAACTTCATAATAGACCTCACTTACCTCGGAGTCTCTGTGGCTCAGAGGTAGAGTATCAGAGCGCGGAATCCAAAGGTCTGAGGTTCCATTCCTCATGGGAACTTTTTCTTGTCTCGTAACAAGACGAAAAAAAACATCTTTCTCAATATTGAATTATTTTTTTATAACTTATGTAATGAATATCGTTGTCTTCTAAGAGAAAACTTTTAAAAGGTCTGTATGAACTAGTGACTTATAAATAAAGTAACAACATATTTTTCTCAATTTTTAGTGGCTTTCAATTTTTAGTTGGTGGATTCCAAGAGTGTATTGTTTAAGCTTAAACGAAATATACTTGGACAAAAAGGAATATTTTGTTCTGCCTTGTTCGTTTTCGAAGCCAAATGTAGGCGTTGTACAACCAATTGTACACTCGTTCAAATGAGTTTATTTGGACTTTACATAAGTCATTTACGCAAAGCTTGTACTCTAACTCGGAATTTTTTTTCATCTGAGCTAATGATTTTATGAAGAGCAGAGTTATGTATTACTCTAAAATTACACATTAATGCTAGGAAATTGTTTTACGGGTTACGTAGTCCTTATAATGTATAATCTCTTTTTCAGTTTACTGTAATAGTTCAGAATGTAATCTAATAGATAGTGTGTAAGTTATTGTTCCAAAATTCTCAACTCTCTGTAGAAATCATATTTTACATATATATTATATATTTTTTAAAGGACCACACTAAACTGCGAACTTTTTTAACCAAGGACATTGAATATGTGCAAGGACTGCAGTTGAATTGAATAAATATTGTTAGAATTTTTCGATCCTAGCTTTTACTGAATCTAGCTAGCAATAGAGCCTTAATGAAGGGAAACCGGGCTAGAACACACGTATCCGTTTTATTTGGGCACAAGGGTTCTTTCTCTGTTTGTGTTTGGTCTAGAATAGATGTAAGTAACTCCCTGCCTGGTCAAAGAGTGCCCGGTTCAGGGCTCCCTGTGGGAAACTGTCAAGTAAAGTTTCGCGGGTAGGCAGGAACGCTCTTCCATAGAACCAACTGCTTGGACTTGGCCTTGGACTTCCTTTCAATCTTCTCGCAAATTTACTGACAACAGAAAATAGGGAAACAGGTCTGTAGCTCTCCACTTTAATTTTGGCACCTTTCATATAAAGCGGAATAACTCTGAGCTGTGTAAATAATAAACAAATAAGCAGCTATATTCCCGGCCTTCGGAATTTTACCAACTTTGAATAAATTATTAAACAAAGAGCGCAGGGGCGAGGCTAGTGAGTTGCCGCAACATTTCAAGATTCTTGGATGAATGTCGTCGGGGCTACAGCTTCTATAGGCATTCAATTCCAACAGGAGATTTTTAACTTCAATGCATTTGATACCTGCGCGAAATTCTTTGTCCTATCAACTTTCAGGAAGTTAGGAAGATTAGTCAAATTTTCCGATGCGAAATATTGATTTAAACAATCCGCAATGTTTTTTTTTTTTTTTATTAAACAGAGTAACTGTACCAACTTAGAGTATCTCATGGTCGTTTGTTCAACTTTAGCTGTCGCCCTCCTTTACAATCTTGACACTCAGTTGTTTAAGATAATCTCAAAGCGCTTGGTTGTATGACTTAATTTTTGCTCCATTATTCAAATGTTGGGAACGTGTTTAATGCATTTAAAGTCCTTGCTGTAATAAATAATATATTCTGGCTCAATATTTTTTTTTCACTCTTAATTTTTGTTACAGGGAATTAGATTTAGAGCATGTCTTAAAGGATATTATCAGCCAGGGCAGGATAATCAAACGCTTATCTCAACAGTATATTAAAATTAAAGTTCTTACCTTTGTTTGAGATTCTAATGAGCAACCTTCTATAAAGGTTTTTATTTGAGTCACCTCCATTACCAAGGGTTTTGCCGACATGAATGAAAGGCTTTGTGCTAGAAACTTCCAGTCAAATCTTTCAAGTAAACAATGACGGTAACTCTTTGGGAAATGTCTGTAAAAGGCCCTTCGAAACCAAAAAGGGTAATCAATTTTTATTGTTACTTTCACTCGTTCTCTAATTCTTCCTTTCAACTTAACGTTATGTACAAAAGAAAAAATACACAGATCTAGACATTGTTTCTGTTCTTTAACAGAGCATACAATTCACAGCCAATAGAGGCTGGGTATTTTCAGTCAAAAAAGGGAAATCAAACGCATATGTCAAGCAAAAAGAACTTCGTCACGCGTTAGACTTATCGTTTAAGCTTATTCAGCCCTTCTTCTGAATTTCCAAACCCCTCTCCCTCGAAAAAAAGAAAAAAATTACAGAGTGTTCTGGTGTATTTTTATTGTGCTTATCGTGTATTCATAACAATCATTTTAGATGACCAAGCTCGAATTTCTGCTGCCCATTACTCGTGTTCAGCTAAGTTTTTGCCTGGTAACGTAATTTTACAAAACGATTGAGTTCTTTGAAAGGTCCTTGAAGTGACGACAACGTGTGATTAGCCATGTCGGCGGTCGGTTATACTAAAACAAAGACACTCATGTCCATCACCCACACTTGGACTTTGCCGATTCTTACAATCTTAAGTTACCACCATGGAGCAATTCAAGTTATTTTTCGTCTTCATTGATAATAGAGTAAGGCCTTCCCCTTTCGCACCCACTTCATGTTTGTCTGGTGCAATTTTAATGAATGAATAAGGCAGGTCGCAATCTTGTATCTTCAGTTTCAAGTTTCGATTGATGTTTAATTGTGGAGAAGAGTGCCAGTGTGCGGCGATACATTAAACATCGACCAGCAGGTGTCCATTTTATCCATATGGTATGCGCAAGTAAATGGCCGCTGACTCGCAGCTCAAGTTTTCTTCGTGCCTTCTTCTTTTTGTCACTCATGTATGAGCAAAATAACCTCTTGAACTAGTATATGAATTCAATTTACCGAAAATATTTCCAGAGCAAAAGTATCACTACACTTTTTTTTTTGGCTATGATTTTATTCTTCGTTTTATGTTTGTGTGCGTTTTTTTTAATTTATTTTTGCAGCTGAAATCTATTCTGTTTACATCGACAACTTTATGAAAAAGTGTAGAATTCCATTTGTTGTTTCCAGTTTTGGTTTATTTATCTATTTTCATACATTAATTTAACTTCAATTACATTTGTTTTTAGTGACTTTCGCCGATCTTTTTTTCAGTTTTATCATCTGACCAGATCGTGGTTTAGATGCTTAATTCAAGTAGAACAAAAAGAGTACAAGGAGATCGTTGTTGGAGATTTTTAGCATGTTAAAACTAGGTTCCTATCCCCGCTTCGCAGATTTTTTTCCGTTTTTCTTGTTTTCTTTCTTCCCCTGAAACTAAACACGCAATCTATTATTATGTTCCTACGTGGCCTAACAAAGAAGCTATGTTTACATTGTAATGTTTAATATTCAGTCAGGTGTTTTTTTTCATGACTGTGAAAATGATATAAAACTTTTACGTGTTCGATTACTCCAAAGAGCTAAAATGTTCTGAACTGCTAACAAGCTATTCAAAGCGCTATATAACTACAATTTTGATCAAAGATCCAGTTCTTACCCTCAGTGTTGATCAATTCTCAACGAAACAAACATCTGTTCAACCGAAAAAGCTGATATCTCTTTTGCGGATACGTGAGAAAAGTGTTGTGTTCCTCATTTTGACACACAGGTGTGGAAATCAAAGAAGTGTTTTTTTTAAATTTACCCAACCTACACCTGCCCATATGATTACTTTTCTTGCGAACACTGCTATTCACGTGTTCTGTATCCAATAACTGTGGATATGGGTTTGCCTTCTTTCATAAGTATTACGAAAACAGAAAAATGTTTTGGACTTCATAGATTCTATGGAGGAACTGCAGTTTACTTTAAAAGGGCATTAAAAAATGTTAACTTCATCTTGTGGTAGCAAAGAAATTTAAACGACATGAAAAGAAACTTGACCTGCTGACTTAAGAAAGACGGGTGTTTGCTACATATCAGTAGTGTTGCCGATATCAGATCACAAATGCACGCACAATGGGATCAGGAGGTTTAGAATAACGAGATTTTGGGGGAAACAGAACGATTGAACAAATATTTCCATTGTTGTAGCTTTTTTCAATGGAAATGAAATATCCAGTTTGGGAGGATTATAAAATGACGAGCCTCAGCTGACGGTGTGAGACACATTGCAAATCAGTCGAGTGAAGAACTCAAGATGAATTATCAACTACTTCTTCTGATCCTCGGTGCTTCAGTGGCTTTGGCAGAATTGCAAATGGACTTTCCAAGACCTCCAGTAAGTTCAGCTCTTTTACTGTTTCCTTTATTATCTCTCCAGGAATCAGGGATGGATGCTGAACATACAGAACAGGGAAAATAGAATAATTACATTTAAAACAGAGACGATCACTTTTAATTCTCTTTCCTCTCTATGATCCAAACATTTATTAAGTTCCTTGAAATGAAGGGGTCCCCTTTTAGCGATAAAGTACCGCAAATCAGTAAAACTGCAATGAATTGACCCCTTCCTATAAACTTTCTCATAGAGACAATGCCAAACAGAGTATGACAACTGCATCAGTAACGCAGGAAAAAAGCCATGTGGAAAGGTTTCCTGTGAAGTCGACGCTATCAAGTGCGCCAGGAAAAATTTGCCTTCACCACCATCCAATGTGAGTGACGAGTACGGCATACGTTAACGGATGCCATATGTCCTCTAACAAGCACCCTAACCCATTCAAGCACCCTCCCTCGAATATGCGAAACACGGTGCTCTTCTCAAATAAGCGCTCCACTCTCCTCCAACTCCCTTTTTTGATTAGTAGGGATACAAGGAGAACCTGTTTGTATAACCACTCTTTATAACTTTTTAAGCTCTAATTAAAGGGGAATCAGTGCAGGAGAATAATAGGCGACCCCCCGATTAAGCGCCCCTCTTCCAAGAAGCGCCCCTCCTTTTTGCCGAGATTTTAAATAAGCCCCCGGGTGCTTATTCAGTTGAAAACGTTACTAGTGTTTCTTCCTGTCAGTCCAGTGAAAGCTTTAACATCTTTTAAAAAATCAATATGAACTCCTGGCTCTTCAAAGTATTCCCTTTCCAGGGAAAATAATGGAAAGTAATTTCATCATGTTTTCCTTTCAGCCAAGTTGCAAAAAGTTCTTCAATTGTGTCGACCAGGCTAATAATTGCAAGGCGCAGGGAAGTTGCCTTGTTCTCTTGGAAGCGTGCAAAGGCGACATGAACCAATCCAAACGGGAATCGAACAAACTTCGCCCGTCGGGAGGGCCAGTTCCGGCTAAATGAAGAAAAGTCCAGTCCGAGAGTGCATAGTTTCGAGTCTTGGATAAAATGTAGCTATTATGAATGATGGTGTCAGGCGAAATAAAGCACTGAAATTAATCAATTATATTCTTTTGCCTGGCCTTTTACGAGAGTGACGTGACGAACACAGCTAGTGCTCTTCCTTTTAAAACCTTTTTGCGCAATGCTGATATTTGACTTGATTTAAAGCTACTACGAAAAGACATCAGCCAAACTGTTTCACCGTGCGAGGCCACGGTATTTCAAATTTTCCACTTTGTTTATCCCAAAAATATGCTTTAGCATTGACATTTCTCTGGAACGTATTTGCATTATTAACATGCCACTTCTAACTTCCACAATTTCAATGTATTATTCAAGAAGCAGGTGATGTGAATAAACAAACACACCAGCTGGAAGATTTTATCTCAAAATAATGCAGTACCAAATTGCTGGGGAGAACTGCTGATCACGTCAACGGGGTAAAGA